CAGATTAATCATGCGCATAATTATTTATAGATGTGTTTCTATATACAACATGGCAATCTTGTTATAAGTTATCTACACAATATGAGGTTGTTGTTTTAAATTACCATATATATATATTTATTCTGTATTTAACCTTATATAATATTATATGGACGTTGTAATAAATCAGTTTCAATCCCTCTCTCTAATTATAAATTCTGTAAATTATTCCATTCACTGTTGAACCTCCTATAAGAGGCTATTAAAGAATCTGAATATCCCTGGCTTATTCTGAATAGGAGCGTTCATTGAAGATTGTAAATGGTTAGGATATTTGGGATATATTATGTTGACATGTCTTCTTCTTTCTTATCTCCACACTGGGTGAAGTAGAAAGCGTTTGCCTTTGTCATTAACACTGAGATCACTACTTAGTGGCAGGTCGAATGTTGACATATAATTTATATGAATACCTAACCGCAAGTTGTTTTAATAAATATTTATTATATTGGGAGGCTTTCGGATTTTGCTCTTTCTGAACCTGTAGTTTGAAAATTGGGGGAATAAGAAAGAGATTGTTCAAATCATTAAGCTTGAGGGATAAGTCTCTTTCAAATACATTTATTTCAAGCTTTCGGGCATAACCGCCCTTCGACAGGAAAAACCATATTAGCTACTAAAGTTTTCGGATCTAATCTATATATACATTTGTGAGACGCCCGTGTCTCAAGTGCAATGCGAGGCTTGCCGCGGGAGGGGATGAGATCTTTGAAAAAGATGGCCGTTTATTCATCCCCTCCCGCGGCAAGCCTCGCATTGCACTTGAGACACGGGCGTCTCACAAATGTATATATAGATTAGATCCGAAAACTTTAGTAGCTAATATGGTTTTTCCTGTCGAAGGGCGGTTGTGCCCGAAAGCTTGAAATAAATGTATTTGAAAGAGACTTATCCCTCAAGCTTAATGATTTGAACATAATATTATGGGATTGCCTATTAAAGATTGAATATATTTTATTAATCGCACATATAAGTATATATGGTTAATAGGATAAAAAAAAGTAAAATTAAATATTATTTTCATCAGAGGTAATGAGAGAGAAATATTAGATGAAAGTAGAATGCAAATGGATAAATAAAAAAGTAAACAAAAAAAAAGCAAAACATGATAGGTAAACAAATAAAAATATAAATATATACCCTAAATATAAAAAGTTATCAAAGTGGGATAGCAATTCATATATATGTTATATTCAATTTAATTTTTTTATTATATAAATATTTTTTTCTAATTTGACCTAAAAACAAATAGCTTTTTATTATTATGTTTTTGTTCTGTTGTATATATATAGATTTATTTTTTTCTTTCTGGGGCTCAAAAATCATTTATTTTGGTTAGCAGCCCCGTAAGAAATGATATTTTCTCTCTTTGAGGTTGGTTAAATGTGTTTTTTTTTTTCAATAAACTCATTTGCCAAAAATATAATATTATATAGTTAAATTTGTTTCAAATAAAATATATATAAGCACATTTGCTAATAATTGATATTTCATTCTTCTTTTTTTTTTGTAAGTAAAATTTGCATTCGATAATCTAAACATTAATTAATAATTTATTACTTTTTTTTATTCTCTTCACCCCGAATATAAGATATATAATTATTATCAACTTTCAGAAGATTCTAAAAAAAAATACGAACAATCTGATTTTGTCGAAATATAATTCAATAAATTCAGTTTATTTTTCTATTCAAGATGTACCGTTTTTTTTTATCTAAATAGTCTGTATATATAGTAGAATTTCCCATGAGATACTACAGTTCAAATTATAGATATTCCTTATCTATTTTGAATGTGATCGTTTATATAAAATTGAACAACTTCAATATATCTCATTATTTATCGTTAAAATGTGAATTTCAAAGTGGTATATTCATAGTCTTTCTTTAAAGCCAGAAGAGCTACATTTATTTGAACAACAGAAAAGCCTGAAGAAGACACTGGCAATCCATTTCTGTATCAAAAATGCTGAGAAAAATATATGAAGAGATTGGAGAATATTTGTCCATATTTTTTTATTATCCCTAGTAAAACGTGGTACAGACTATGATGGATAGAATCATGGCCAAGGTGGGTAGAAGTTGGCGACTGTTTTTACTGTAAGTGTACCACATTGCGGCAAATGTGAAATGCAGTTCGACTTTGCATTTACAAATGTGTCAGAGCCCAGTTTGGTTACTTGCACTCGTTGGTGGGGTTGGAGCTTTGCAAGAATTGTAGGCCATTTGTCTATATAGTCACCAAAAGTCGAACTCGACTTGATGAACTCTAACAATTTCTCAATACACAGGACTTACAATTAAATACCTTTATGTTGACTAAACCCAACTTTACATTTGTTATCTGGTCTCTTGAGATGTAGAGATATTTTTGAAGAAACAATATTTGTGTGAAATTTCTACAATCCTAAACATTTTTTTGTTTTTCCCTGCATCTTATGGTAGCCATCCTTTTCTCTCTCTCTCAGAACAAATTTGTTTACATCGATAAAGAGAAAATAATTTCATATAATACACACACAAAGCCTTTATTAAGACATTAGTCTTATACAGATTCTCAGTACAAGGTGCAATATCAGTAAGTGCAATAGTATAAGAATAATGTCTTAATAAAGGCTTTGTGTGTGTGAATTTCATATAATAATAATTTATTTCATTAAGAAAAGTTCTAATTATGTAAATATTTACCTATATATAAATATTATCTTTGAATTTCTTGGAAATTTGCCTGTCGAAGGATGTCAAAGTCCGAAAGATTGCCGAATTTACAACTGTGATGGAAGAAACACGCCGCCGTTAACTTTTGTTCCTTCTTCATTTTCTTATTGTTTCGTTAACCAATAGAAGCCCTTCAAGTACAGACTATACAATGTATAATACAATCGTTATATATATATAAATCTGGTGAATAAAATGGACAAAATCACTGCGAAGGTTTACCATTGATAATTCAAACCTTCCAGTTATATTATTCTTTAGTTCACTCTGAATATACATCCTATAGGATTGAATCGCTATAATATTGAAATATATGTGGATAGATGGAAAATATGCCGGAAGGATATATATATATATATATATATATGTTATATGAAAATATTATTTTATTTTAAATTATAATTTCATAGATTCAAATATTCTGTTAAATCGACCGCCAGAGGTCACGCTTTGCATATAAAAACTCATTGGTGTTTTTCCCCAATGGCCGGCTCAGGACCTTTGTACATTATGTAAATAATCTTTTGTTTTGCTTGTACTACTCGCCTTAAGCCAGGCATTACTTTTATCAAATTATGTTTTTCATATATATTCCTTAGCTCAAATAGAGAAATCTCTGTTCAAGACTTTATATTTTCAAGATTATTATTTCAACCACGACTGCATTTACATACCATAATCCTCAACATGATATAAATTCAAGCAGGAAATCTCATTTTTTTATATATATAATATATAGATATTAAAAAGGTATATATTGTCAAATACATCTTTTATTCAATCCAATATATATCTTTTTAATATCTAAAGATTTAAATATGAATTGCTCTATATTCATAACAATATATATAATATAATAATAATAATAATATATAATAATAGAATAATAATAATAAAGGTTTTCAATAAAGGTCACTGTAATATATTTCAGAGTTATTATCTGAATACCGATATACATGCTGAAAGGTACAACTTCCTTAAGTTTTGTCCATGAGTGTATATAGCCTGTACTGGATATCCTCGTTGTAAATAAAAGTGTGTTTGGCATTACCTAAACAAACCTCCAATAAGAGACCATCTCCAGGAAAGACCGAGGGTATCGAAATAGATTTCTAGATGATCTCTTATTGGAAGCTTTATTGTATATACGCATTAAAAAACAACCACCACAAATTTAGCAAATAGAATAAAAAATAGTCAAATTTTCAAATCATCTCATTAAACTGAACCTAGCTAGCTGTCTATACAATTACAATTGACATTTGAAATTAATTTTATTGACTTCTTGTCAATAATTTACATTAAAAATAGAAATAAACTAAAATATAGATGATCATGCGGGGGATGTGCCCCGGCGAGTGAGCCTTCTTTTCCAGGCGATGAGCGGGGTCCTCCGGTCAGACCAACCTGTACGAAGTACCGATAGATGATGGATTTGGTCGAGGCCAGACCCGAAAATCCAGGCCCACAGGTCAGGGGGTCGCCCGAGGACACTGAAGGCTTCGATGATGAGGGGCCTGATACGCCTGCAGCTCAAGTCTATACAATGACGTCATTGCATTCCTTCACTCTATTGGCTGTCTGAATTACGACTAATATCACGTGATAATGGAATCGTAATTTAAGTTGGAGTGTTTATTTGTTTTTTTCCACCTTTGTGAAGCTTCATTCCAATACCGATTGAATTCTATTTTAATAAATAAAATTTAAAATATAATAAAAGGACCATTTCTCTTCAATTTATTCTGGGTAAGGAATTGCACACGCGCCATTGAATCTAAAGATTTTGTTGGGTATATGGGTAATAGCATTTTTGGACGATTAACTACCCATTGTTCCTTCCTATAAATTATTTCGTTTTTTTACATTTCGTACAACATATGTGTAGTTTCTGTTTATATCCAGGATATTTCTATATGGGAATATATAACCTAAACTACTATTTTTATAGCTTTACATTGTTCATTACTTTCATTTATATGTTCTTGAACATTGTATTGATCTCTATACTTATCTATCTCTCTCTTGTGAAACTCTCTTTATATATTTATTTTATCTTTATATCTGGTGGATAGATGGCCGAGTGGTATAAGCTGTCGGTTTACGACAGCTAAGACACTGGATAGAATCCCGTATTGGACACATGAAGAAAAAAATGTTCTATGTTCTTGAACATTGCCTTGTTCTCTATACTTATCTCTCATGAAAAACTCTCTTTATATATTTATTTTAACTTTATATCTGGTGGATAGATGGCCGAGTGGTATAAGCTGTCGGTTTTCGACTGTCAGGACACGGGATCGAATCTCCGTATTTTTTTTTTACGAAGAAAAAAATGCTTCACTCTCTCTCTCTCTCTTCAGTTCTGGATCTTCGCAGTGGGTCTCGAGAACCAAACCATCACCATCTCCTCAGCGGCGAAGCACGCGATCTACGTTTTTTTCGTAGATCACGAAAAACGTGGTATCGCTGAAGACCCGTTGACGATCTTCACTGCATCAAACACGATCATACTCTGCAGCGGTGGCAGAGGTACCATGTACATATTCATTGTACATAGCATATATTTTACTGTATTTTTATTTTATTTCTTTTTTTTAATATAATAATCATCATCATTGTATTTTTTTCATATCTACTTGAATAGTGTGCACTGTACACTTTTGTCTATATTTTGACGGGATGTCAATAAAACTATGTTATTTTTCTCTCTTTCTCTCTCTCAATGATACCCTGATTCTTTAAAATTTTTAACTCTTCTAATAAGTGAAAGTAACCAATCAGAGCTCTGACACCTTGTAAATGCCTATAGGTCGAACTACATACCATAATTGTATTTATTAATTGACTCTGGAGGGGTCGGTGGAAGGATGATCTAAACCGTTGGTTTTCGACCGCTACGACCCGTGTTTGATTCCCGCATTGGGCACTTTTTTTTCTGATTTAAAAATGAATAAAAAATGCTTCAATGGCCCCCGTTTCTTTCAAAAGTCCAACCCTACCAACGAGTGCGAATACCCATACGGGGCTCTGGCACATTTGTAACTTCTAAGTCGAACTGCTTTTCACATTTGTAGACATGTGGTGCACTTACAGTAAAAGCAGTCGCCTACTTCTACCTACCATGATTATCATGGTCTGTACCACGTGTACTAGGTACAGTTGGTTTTCGACCGCTACGACCCGGGTTCGATTCCCACATTAGGCACTTTTTTCTGATATGAAAATGAAAAAAAAAAAATGCCTCAATGGCCCCCCGTTTCTTGCAAAAGTCCAATCCTACCAACGAGTCAAAATAACCATACGGGGCTCTGGCATATTTGTAACTTCTAAGACGAACTGTTTTTCACATTTGTAGATATTTTTTGTAAATAGAGCAATCCATAAATAAATCTTTAAATAAAAAGGAATATATTGGATCAAAATATCGTTTATTTTACCAATATTTCAGTTAGCTGAACGCCAACCTTTATCAAGGTATTATAACATTTTAAAGTGTGTCAACAACAGACTCAGCGCCACATAACGTTCACATTATTTTGCATTATGAAATATTATATTACAAAGAGAGTATATTGATAAATATGAAGCAATCTCTCGAAATATTTTTAGAAAAAATTGTTTTTTTTTTTCTTTTTACAGATCCCGGTTTGCCCTGTTTTATATATAAATTCTATTTTGTAGTTAGAAAAATTGATATAAATGTGTTTTTAAGGCGTTACTATAAATACAAATTCCTATGAATAATATTTGCATACACAAAAGAGGTTCTCTCTAAGGAATCTTCATCTAAAGAAATTCTTTGAGATTCCAGGGTCAATATGGCCCTAGAGGACATTGCAGAAATTCCACAGAGATCCTTTAAAGATTAATCCAGCAAAGAGGGCGCTAATTTCCAACTCAGAATTCCTCGGTGTAAAATGTTGCAACATTGTTGCACAGGAATGGTTGGAATGGGAGAATCTTTAATCTACAACATTTGTAATTGTCACTTAAAATTTCGTTGCTTTTATACCTAGTAACCTCATTGTTATACGTAAACATTTATCATTTAATTTTTTTATGTCATATTAATATGGTATAATACCTTGATAAAAGTTGGTGTTCAGCCAACTGAAATATTGGTAAAATAAATGATATTTTGATTCAATATATGCCATTTTAATTAGAGATTTATTTATGGATTGCTCTATTTTCAAAACATTTATCAATGTAGTAAGGACAGTTTAAATTGTTTTTATTCAAAAAGAAACCATAAGTGACAAAATAGAATAAATTTATAATAACAGATGGGGCGAGCTAATGCATTATGTTATAATAGTTATAAAAAAAGACTTTTAGGAGCTATTTGCGGAAGAGCAATACTCTAAGCATATTATATATTTATAATATATGTATTTCTACTGTTTTCTCAAAGCTTGTACTATCCTCAAATACTGTATTGGATCATTCTGTTTATATATGCTACACTGAAGGGTGGAATCTTAGATATGGTGTTTAAGAAAACTATGGACATAAGCTTTTAGGACAGTAGAATTATATTTAAATATTTGTATGGGGGGAGGGGTTCATCACCGCGATGATCCAGGTCCTCCCAAAATTTTTTTTCATCGCAGTAAAAACATCATAAAATACTATGGCCACTCCATCTTTCGGTCCCTATCCGGTCGTAGTAAGGACATCTTAGGAGATCAAATGATTACCCAGACATAGAAGTCCCATTAGTTAGTTCGCAGTAAGGTCAAAAACATTCGGCTGGGTCGAAAGACAAAGCTAGGTAAGATATAGGTGTTAAAGCCCTTGCATCCGCAGTAAGGACATCCTTAAATCATATGGCCACCCAGACCTTTCGGTTCATTAGCCGAACACAGTAAGGGCATCATAGAATCATTTGACCACTCACACCTTTCTGTTCATTAGCTGGCTGCAGTTAGAACATCTTAGGATCAAATGACCACCCAGATAAAGAAGTCCCATAAGTCAGTTCGCAGTAAGGAAAAAATGTGGCTAGGTCAATAGATAAAACCAGGGATGATATAGGTATTAAAGCTCTTACATCCGCAGTAAGGACGCCCTAAGGATCAAATAACCGTCCAGACCTTTCAGTAAAAAGCTGGCCGCAGTAATGACATTCTGGAATCATATCGCCACCAGATCTTTCGGTCCATAAGCCGGTCACAGTAATGACATCTTAGTATCATATGGCCATCACACATTTTGGTCCATAAGATGGTCGCAGTAAGGACATCCTGGAATCATATCGCCACTAGATCTTTCGGTCCATAAGATGGCTGCAGTAAGGACATCTTTGTATCATATGGCCACCCAGACCTTTCGATCTATAAGATGGCCGCAGTAAGAGCATTCTAAGATCAAATGCCACCAAACCTTTCGTTCCATAAGATGGCTCCAGTAAGGACATCTTAGTTTCATATGGCCACCCAGACCTTTCGTTCCATAAGATGGCTGCAGTAAGGACATCTTAGTTTCATATGGCCACCCAGACCTTTAAGTCCATAAGATGGCCGCAGTAAGGGCATCTTAGTTTCATATGGCCACCCAGACCTTTAAGTCCATAAGATGGCCGCAGTAAGGGCATCTTAGTTTCATATGGCCACCCAGACCTTTCGTTCCATAAGATGGCTCCAGTAAGGACATATTAGTTTCATATGGCCACCCAGACCTTTCGTTCCATAAGATGGCTCCAGTAAGGACATCTTAGTTTCATATGGCCACCCAGACCTTTCGTTCCATAAGATGGCTGCAGTAAGGACATCTTAGTTTCATATGGCCACCCAGACCTTTAAGTCCATAAGATGGCCGCAGTAAGGGCATCCTAGAATCAAATGCCACCAAACCTTTCGGTCCATAAGTCAATTCGAAGTAAGGAAAAAAAACTTGAATATGTCAAAAGACAAAGTCAGGGGACGATATAGGCGTTAAAGCCATTGCATCCGCAATAAGGATATTCTAGAATCATATGATTACCAGACCGTTCTGTCCATTAGCCGACCGCAGTAAGGAGAGAGAGTGTGTAGAACGTTCGATTTATTATAAAAAGAAAACAATCTTACTTATAATAGTAACATTCCCAATAACATTCTAAATATGGAATTTTCCCCGTTATCCTAGATGTCGTCGGTTAAAAAGGGTAAGAATTAAGGCTCCTAATACCTTTACAAGACGATGGAAGAAGGAAACAATTAAGATAGGCCGCTACTAAAGTGTTTACTACCTCGTAACTTGAGGGCGTTGATGGGATGGCTGTTTGTTCCGGCCGCTTTAGTGCCTTCCAATACCGCAGACATACCCGCCGCGGTATTTAAAGGAACCATCAAATATTTCAGATTTGAAGTTTAATTAGATCAACATTTCGTTAATATGATCGTCAATCTTCTTTATACGGATATCTTCGCTGTATTTCCAGCACATACTGTATAGTGGTAGAGCTTACTCCACTCTGACGAGCGCCAAAATTGCGCGTTCGTGGATGGCTTTTCTTGATTTATCAAGAAATTGGGTTGACTAAATATCAGGGAACAGGTTAAATCAATGTTTAGTTGATTACTGTTCCACCAGATGGCGCTCTGCTTTCTGTAAATAACATATGCTCCTGGTCAGGATATGCCTTTTTTATTTTTAATGCTATATACTGTCGATCCTTTATTTGAGACCTAGAGAGGGAGAGAGAGACAATTTTGACAATTAACATATTTTTATTGACCTCTTGTCAATACAGGAAAGTGCGCAGTCCGCACTAATTATCAGAAATTAACAATAAATGGTTATAAAAATGAAACATATATATAAACAATATGCTATGTACAACGAAATTGTACATGCCACCTCAGCCACCGCTGCAGAGCTTGGTGGAGAATTACCAGCGGGTCTCCAGCGACACCACGTATTTCTTGATCTACGAAGAATACGTAGATCTCATGTTTTGCCGCTGAGGAGATGGTAATGGCGTGGTCCTCGAGACCCACCAGAGAGAGAGAGAGAAAAGACACACCAGAAATTCGCTTTCTTATATTCTGTATTTTAGAAAAAGTCATGTTGTTGTTGTTATGCCTAATGAAGAGCCTCAGATGTCTCCATTCATCTCTATCACAGCAGCAGCAATGTTCACTATCTTGGGTGTGTATACTGTATTGTTGTTGTTGTCGTGTCTAATGAAGAGCCTCAGATGTCTCCATTTATCTCTATCACAGCAGCAGCAATGTTCACTATCTTGGGTGTGTATACTGTATTGTTGTTGTTGTCGTGTCTAATGAAGAGCCTCAGATGTCTCCATTTATCTCTATCACAGCAGCAGCAATGTTCACT